TGCTGAACTTATTGCTGGTAAAAATGGTATGATGAGGTGATAAGAGCGACGTGTTAGACAGCATCTCCACCACCGTCATCAAAGCACTACATAAGGGAACATCTGTTGGAAGAACGGTGTTCATCCCTCCAGGAGGGTTCAGAGACCTGGAGAGTCAAGGTGGAGCTGTTCTGGTGCATGTGGGTGGCCCAGCACCTCACTGAGGGTTCATCTCAAGTCCCTTATAAGATGTTTCCTACGTCATCACACGACCTGGAATTCATTCTGGTCTACTGACGGCCGAGGATGTTCCAAGTCTCTCATATCAGCTCCGAGAAGCGAGGAGGCTGCTGGAGGAGACGTGACCATGGCATGATACATGATACACCATCCAGAAAGCCTTTTGTGAACTGACTTTTTATCAGACATCAGGTGGTGACTGGATGCTTCAGATGAATAATCAAAGGATGTCTCATGACGTTAACGTGTTTCCCCCGAGTCCTCTCTCCTCGCGTGGGTGGGACTAGGACATGAGGAAACAACGGTGCTTTAAGAGGCTTGTGACATACACTAAGACACTTTATGTTGGTTTATTCTTCAATACGACACCCGTCTGAGGTTTCTTTGGGCGTCACTGAGCGGCCATTAGAATAACTTCAGCTGAACACACAGCTGACGTTGCTGGTGAGTGGAGGAGGAAGAAACTGGTGGCCAGTAAATGAAAAGCTTTGATGTATAAAAGACTAAGGAGTGTAGTGGCACATGACACCACACAGGAGTTTTGTCAACTGTAATACATAAGCTAAAAGCTTTGTGCTTCAGTTGAATCACAGTAAAACCTGAATCACTGTAGGACGGTCCTGTAGCTTGTTTGATGGAGACACAACAGGCCTCTGTGGAAACCAAAGGGTGCTAATATGTAGGAATATAATCACTGATGCCGTTTTTTTTTTTAATGCCCTTAAAGAATTTCTGCTATTTTATTTCTGATGGTATGAAACACGTTGATTTTCACGTGACTGTATATGAAATGGTTGTTGTTTTGTACCATTGCTTATAGAGCTCACCAGGATGCAGCGTGTACAAGCTGTAAGTGCTTTGTGTCTAAATATTATGCATCTGTTCGTCCCTTTTAGCTGAGCTTGTTAGAAGTGTAGAGGATTAGGCCTGTTTCTCAGCGTGTATGTATATATTCACACAGGTTGATGTTATTTCACTAAGGAGGAAACAAATCAACACAGTTTCTGATTTAATTTCATCTCTGTGGCTGACAAACATCTGCTCTTTGTGAAGCGGATGTATAGTACTGTTGGTATGAACAAACACTGAACAGGAGGTAAAATAAGGCACATAGTGTATCTCAGTACACGACTCATTGGCTCACTCTGGTTCTTCATCGCCTACTTAAGGTGGTGGTTCCAATTTCGGGGCAAAGCTGAAATCCAGAGCAGTAAATGAAGAGTAATCTAATCTCCTGCAAAATATGACTGGAAGTAGAAAGCTGACTTGCGTCTGAGCACAGATTCGAGGTCTCTGACTACACTTATTTGTATCTGAGACAGCCTTGACATGAAACTGAATAGAAGTCTATCCAGAAATTCTATTCATCAGTTTGCTGTTACTTTTTGTGGAGCTTTCAGCTCTCATCAGCAGATGCAGTTTGCTCAGCTGTTATTCTTGCATGCACGTGGCTCACGTCACGTAAATACGATCAGTTTATGAGCTCGATGACGTTCACACCGGAGCAGAGTACCCGTCAGTTACAAACGTGAAGCATCAACACAGAAAGATCCGAATTGAGCATTAAGGTCTGTGACATGAACGTGGCCTATGGCTCCATGTGTAGGCGCACACACAGTGAATGACTTTGGCACAAGAGACGACTTTGCTCCTCGTCTCCTTCCAACAGCCATTTTGATGCAGTACGTTCCTGTGTCCTGCACTTACTGTATTTTTATTATCTTGAATGTAACCAAACATGGAAAAATGACTATAACTGATGAAAAACGTTACCTGAATTTAAATGCACTGCAAGTAAAGACTTTTCTTCAGCACACCTGTCGTTTTTTTCTTTTGTGCACACAAAGAGAAGTTCAGGGGAACTGTTGGCCGCCATGGTGGATCACCACAGAAACAACTTCCACTTTACAGACATATGAACAGCACATATGATGGGCATTAGAGCCTCACTAGTTTGACTGCAGACTTTGTCTTCTTAGTAAAATATAACCTGAGATGAAAACAGACATGAGCCTCAAATAAATAAGTCATTCACTGAGTCTTTACACATCTAAAGCTGGAAACCTGGATCTGTAGCAAATGCTGAGGGCAGAGAGATTACAGCCTCTGCTTTCTCACCAACAATGACTCATGAAACACTGCACACATCTAAAAACCTGAGACTGATTCATCTAAAGAAAACAAAGTAAAACAGATAATGGCCATCTGCAGCAGTGGCCCAACACATAATTTGATCCTAAACTTCAGGAGCTGCTCAAGTCATCTATCACTGATAGCAAACATTTGATATGTGACATAGAGGAAAAAAAACATCCTGATTAACTCTGTCTTTCCTGGACAACTTAAGATGCTTTTTACTTTTAAAATGGTTCATCTCCATTTCTAAGGTCAGTCATTAAAAGCTCAGAACAAACGAGTCTCTGTCGTGGATCAGCAACTGTGCCAATGCCAGAGCCGCACCACCGCCATGATGTCCAAAACAGATGGGTTCCCTTTACCTGTCAGTTATGAACCTCTTCATTAGTACAGTCTCATTAGGATTAAATAGTAAAGATGCCACAGCAGGTGCAGTTGGCATCAGTACAGGTAAACCTTACTGCAGGGCTGCAACTAACGATTACTTTCATTATCAAGTAACTGATCAAACTCTGACTATACGAGACCAAAACAATACAGTCTAAGGTGATGTTGTCCAGTGTCTTGTTTAGTCTGACCAACAGTATTAAACCTAAAGATATTCTAATTTATGTCATGTTAAGACAAGGAAGTGCAGGAAATACATTTAAAAAGTTGGAACCACCAACTGTTGTTTTCAGCTGAAAAACTTAAAACACTAATCAAAATAGTTTCAGGTTAAGTTTCTGCACCTTCGTCCAAAGGATACAATGAATATTACCTGATTTGACCAGCAACAAAACAAGAGGGTTCCCACTCATATGCCCACAAAGACACAGAAATTTAACAGGTAAGAAAACTCATCTGCATAGTATCAAAATGTCAGAAACCTGGTTCTCATTACTGTTAAAATGCCAAATATTTACAATAGAAGCATATTCAATTAAATCAAGCCAAACATAAATACTGATCCAACTAATAATTTAAAATGAGAAGTGAATGATTAAGGCTTGCTAACGAAACTCAAGGGCCTGCAAGATGACTGACACCAAACAAAGGCAGACTTTAAGTTGCTGTGTGCAAAAAGCAGAAGGTCAACATTCTGTGGTTCACTGCAACTGCACCCTACACACACCAACACAACGTAAACACAAGTGAAAATACCCGACCAAAAGAAACTCCTATGTCGAAGTAACATAACGCTTACCCTAACCATTAACACATAATGCGGTGTCACTGGTCATTTTCGCTTTAGCAGCTGATGACTAGTGTGAACACGCACATTATCTTTAATACATTTAAAACGCTACTTATGGGAATGGACACAAGAAAACATTACAATGGCAGCTTTCACAACCTGCAAAAGAAAATAATTACACAATGCTTTTATGGTGCAACATGTATGTAACTGTATCTATTGTTCTGTCACCTACACCAGCTTATACACGGTCAAGAAAGTAGGATTAAACTTGAATAAATCCCCTTGAAACTGAGCTTTTCATCATCTTAGTAGTTTTGGTCTTAAGTTTTTTCATCTACCCAACGTGTCTTACTTCTTTGTCACTGCTCAAACTGTCCTCTCTACCTCCTGCTGATGCTTTAAATGTTCATTACACTGATATTACATTACGATGCCTGAAACTTTTTATATTGACTTCGCTGTCTGCGTTCTTCTCTTTCTCTGTTGTGTCTAATTCTCTTAGTAAATTAAATTTAAATGTCATAAAAGTGATAAAAATTTTGTCAGCATACACCTGAGCGTGGCACCGGACCCTCATCTGACTGACTGAATGATGAGCCCAGGCCAAACATCAGCGCGTCGATCAGATAACGATCAATGAGACTGAAGAAACGGTTTCCTCCGACACATGAAGCAGCAGAAAACAGAGAGAGAAGCTCAGAGACAGAGACTTCAGTCCTCCACTGAAGACAGCAGCAGGTAAGAACCAATGATACCATGGCAAAAGATTTAAATACTGCATAACTGTTTACAATTCAATATCACCATTCTGGTGAGGTCAAGCAAATAATGGTGATAATGTGGACTCGGTCATGTGAACATCAGTTTTAATGTTTCTGCACATTTCTGAAGCAGCCGACTGCTGCTACAACATTTTAATTAGAGATAAAAACCTTGTTTCTGTGGGAAATAAAAAGCAGTTTGAGTTTATTAAATATTTAGCTACATGCATTTTGTCTCTACAACACTTTTGATTTGGCTTCACAGAGCTGAGAGCTGTACAGACAGACCAAAATGGCAGTAGATTACAAATGGACTGCATCTGAAATCATTCACCGCTCACCAAACTTGGCGTTCGAAGGCCTGATATGCTGTGTGTTGGCCATTCTGTAGCGGTGTCCCGATGCTCAGTCTATCCTCTACACAGTGCACTCAAAAGCAGCGAAAGCTCTAGACAGCTGTGTAGAAGGTATGGACATTACTTTCTACTAAAAATCCTACAGCGCAATGTTTTATCGGTGGTAAAATTACAGTCGAGCAGCTCTACAGGTGTTAGTGATGGCACAAAAGAATAGTGAGCGTCCAACTTTCAATTTACTGTTCACTATTACTCAACTTATACAAGGAGTAGTGACTGAGGGTGGGATTTCGGACATAGCCACAGTCACATAAAAATTACACTAAATTAATTAACATCAGTTACACACAGTACAAACACACCGGGGCATGAGGAGTAGAAAGAGTCCGTCTAAAGCAGCCGCGTTCCCCTGTGCAATGAAAATCCTTTAAATGTGGTGTTTGAATGCCTGATGTAAAGGCATCATTTATTAAAAACCCAGGGTGCAGAGTATAAACATGCAGGTTTGCCAGTAAAGTTGTGTATTATCTACCAACAAACTGGATTAAATTATTTGTATAAGAGTAAAGGCTCACTGAGCAACCAAAAAAGAAAACCCTGTACAGTTTAGGAATAAACAAGACAGGTGACAACTGAAATGAACAGACCACCACCCAGCAGGGCCTCATCAGGGCCGAGTCTCCAGAGCAGCGTCAGGTCTCCTTTGTCGGAGGAAGACACATCCTCCTTACAAACCAGATCCCCTCACTATGTTCAACCCGCTGTGTCCGACCAGCTGTGTCAGACCAGCTGTGTCGTCCTCATGAAGCCATTCAGTGACCTAGAGCTGCAGCCAGGAGTCAGTTCACTGGTAGAAAATGAACCTCAGCTATTTAGAAGCAACAGTCACCGACATGTTCTGGTTCCACCTTCTTTAATGTGAGGAGCTGATGCTTTTCTTTGTCAGACATGAGAATCAGCTGAGTCTCTGTGGATCTGCTGGTTGGACACAACAAGACATGTGGAGACGCCACCTTTGGCTCTGGAGAGTCACAGTGGGACATCTTACCAGTGTCTGACATTCTGGGGATAAACAAATCAATCAGATCATCAGGACGGTGATCAGCTGATTGATCAGTGACCCCACTGGGTCTCCACTCAGTCTGGAGTTTCCTCTCATCCTTCACCATCTGTATGTTTGTTTCATATCTTAGAAAGGGAGCACTCATATGGTGAGTTCTCCTTATGAACTTAGAGGTGGAGCGCACAGGGTGAAGGTGTCTGGGATTACATTGGGACTAAGTTGTTGTTGTCTTTCTTCTCTTTGTCCAGAGCTATCATGATGGCCTCACCCTTTCTGTTCTATGTCGCCCTCTGTATCGCCACCGTGCTCACCCTGCCACCTACTGAGCCGCCGCTGATCCATGACCACCCCTTCGTGGCCATATGGAACGCCCCCACCGACCGCTGCCAACAGCTTCATATTCCGCTGGACACCGCAGCCTTCCAAGCAGTGACCACACCCAAAGCCACATCCGGTCAGTTCCTCACCATCTTCTACGAGGACCGCCTCGGTCTCTACCCTAAAGTCGACATCATCAAGCGCAAGCGCTACAAAGGTGGAGTGCCCCAAAATGGCAACCTGACGGAACATCTGGCCAAGGCCCAAAGTCAGATTGATCACTACATCTCCCAGGATTCCTCTCCTGGTCTGGCTGTCATCGACTGGGAGTCCTGGCGCCCCTTGTGGGACCAGAACTGGGGATCGAAACGTATTTATCAGAAACTGTCCATCTCTCATGCCCTAGAAATAGCCCCATTTTTATCCTTTAAGCAAATTTCCAAACTGGCAAGGAGCCAGTTCCAGAGTGCCAGCCGGCGCTTCATGGAGAGAACCATCAGCCTTGGTATCGGTGAGCGCCCAAGCCGCCGCTGGGGCTTCTATCTGTTCCCCGACTGCTACAACTACGGCTGGGACAAGCCCAGCTACACGGGTAAGTGCTCTGAGAAGATCCAGAAGCAGAACAACCAGATGCTGTGGCTGTGGGAGCACAGCACCGCCCTCTTCCCCTCTGTCTACCTTCACCTGACTCTGAGGAACTCCCCCCGTGCTGCACTTTATGTCCGCAATCGTATCCAGGAAGCGCTGAGGGTGGCGGCACTACCTAAACGTCCATACACGGTGCCAATCTACGTCTACTCCAGACCACTGTACCGGGACCAGACGAGGCAGTTCCAGAGCCAGGTGGGTCTGTTTGGCCACTTAGGAGTTACTGTGAACTGACCTTAACTTTGGTGATTCAGTTGGCAGCAGACTGTGTCCACAGGTGCTTCCCTGCTGGAACATTCAGGTCCATCTAAGACTTTCAAGCTGGCTGCATGACAGCTCTGCATTCATGTGCTGCCTGAAAATCAAAAGTGGAAAGACAAAGTAATGCTGACATTGAACATCAAGGTTCATTCTTGACCTTGACAAAAATAACCACATGTCAGAGACTTCCTCAGCAGATGAAATATAAATCAAGAGTTATGTCTAAAAGCTGACTGACATCATCTCATCCAGGCCTGGCAGCAATTATATGGCACAGCCCGAGTTCCCATATTTATGGCAAGTGGTCCAAAGTGGCATAAATGCATGTTAATAATATTTAACATACGCTAAATACATACAAATCCTTATTCTGTATAAGCTGCATTACATTCTTCTGTGCTCCGTGTGGGATTCAAACCTGAGAACTAGTCTTAGAATTAAACATTTAATTACAAGAGTAATTAAATGATTATGTATCAGCAGCAAGTTTCACACCTCTAAAGGTTGATTTCTAATTGAAATAGCTTGAAGAAAGGAAATCTATGTAAAAAAATGTGACGAGTATTTGTGTTTGTTAGGGAAGTATTCTACCTCCGCGTGTCTGGTTCTGTTTCAGGCAGACCTGGTGAGCACTGTAGGAGAGTCTGCAGCTCTGGGAGCGTCAGGAGTCGTCATGTGGGGAGGAACCAAAGACTACAACAACAAGGTGACCACACTTTTCTTTCTATTCACTGGTTGGACTGGTCTGCTCACAGTCACTAAAGGACAGTCTGTTCAATTCTATCTTAAACCACACAGCACCGTATATGTTTAAGAAGTGCCGTCGTCATTTCTTCTGTGGATACTGGCTGAGATAAAACAGTGGGAAACCGGAAACCATCATGAACTTGAGGACGTGTCTCTTAAGCCATGGTGAAATACTGTAACGCTCTTCACAGATGACCAGGCCTGAATCAGCAAAAATACAAACAACCAAACCACCTTTGTTTCCTCTTTTTGGAGGAAGCTGCCTCAAGTGTTTATCTGTGCTGACAGATGTAGGAAGGAACTGTTTCAGCTTCATCTGACTGTTCAAATTCAGTTCTTTAACTGAAAAGAAGGAAAAAGTATATCAGACATGTCCTTTTTTAAATTTGACTTTTTAGCACAGACTGAATGTCAGCACTAACTGGACTGTGCAGTTAGGCATTAAAAACTGCTCATAATATGACTCATTCTAAACAAGTAAAATATAAAATAGGCATTTTTCTCTGTGTATGGATTTTTTTCTCTCAAATTAAAAGCGTGGGACATTTGCAGAGCAGATAACGTACAGACACTTTTTATTTATATAGCCCAATCTCACAAATAACTAATTTGCCTCAAGGGGCATTAAAATCTGTACAGCACAGGCTCTTCTGTTCTTAGAGCCTAGAACTGGATAAAGAAAAACCCCAAAAAACTTAATGGCAAAAAACAAAACTGGTGTTTTCTAAGGAGGAAAACCAGCTCTCTTCCAACTATACATTCGTTTTACACTACACTAACAGAGCTTTTCTTTATTTCCTGATACACCTGCGTCTCACCTGTAAACCCCACTGTCCCCCTGCAGGCTGCCTGTCAGGCTCTGTCCGAGTACCTGACGTCCACCTTCAACCCATACATCGCCAACGTGACGGCGGCCGCCATGCTCTGCAGCGAGCTGTTGTGCCAGGGGAAAGGCCGCTGCGTCAGGAAGAACTATGACTCTGCCATCTACCTGCACCTGAACCCCACCTACTTCAGCATCATGCGGGCCAACCGGAAGTACGTAGCGGTCGGTCTTCCCACCGCCGCCGACATCGACGCCTGGGCCCAAAACTTCACCTGTCAGTGCTACGCAGGACGGAGCTGTTCACCCAAACTGGTGCATCCAACCAAGATCAGAAGCATCTGGGTTTAACCTGCGAGGACAGCGTTCCCAGCAGTGTGAGCCCGCAGCTGATTATGTGGTTATTAATGCAATGAAACTAGGCTACTGCTGATGATCTGATAACATTATGCCCTCCTTTACAATACGTACATCACAAAGCTTTATTTTTAAAAATACTGGGGAAAAAAATCATTTTACATCATTAAGTGTAGTTTTCAAATCAGACAATGATATGTTTGTACTGAAACTATACAGGTGGTCTAATAAAAGCTTTTGCTTCACTTTTTGGCTTGTTTTCTCTTGAAACTACAGTAAGTAGTTTCACTGTATTTGCCAAATTAAAGTAATCGAGTATAAAGGAGAGTTTGCGCCCTCGTCTTGCAACAAACGCGTGGCAGGCAGAGCGTCTATGTTTCCCAAGTTCTTACCTGCGCATTTACCGTTTTCATGACACGTGCATCGAGCAGCAGTTTGTGGACTTCGCGCCGACAGGTGCGTCCAGATGAAAATGGGGTGTGTCCAGGTAAATTTTGAGCGTGTTATGCTGCGCGCCTGTCTAGGTGCGTGCACAATGCTCGTGCACTGCGCTTGTTATACCCTGGGACGCGCTTGCGCAGGACAAGCGAAACTTAAAAAAAAAAAAGATTACATTGTGTTCACTGGGTGTTGTGCACATCTATAATATGTATTTATAATATCATTTATTATAAATACGGAAACGGATCTGCTCGACGCCTTCACCCCTTAAGAAACAAGTATAGTGCAATAAGAATAAGTGAGGTGAATGCTTAGGAGCACAGTACTGGAGTCTGGCACCCCAACCTCTAGATGGCAGTGTACATGAAAACGCACATGAGCAAACAGGAAGTACTTGAGCAAAGGACCACTGCCAAATGTGCAGGAGTTGGCAACGTCATTTCCCCTGGGGCCTGCTGATTAAAACTGATTACAACAATCAGGAAGTTTAAAATGTAAGGTGAACTGAGTGAGGTTATTTTTGTATGGTGGTAGGTAGGGGCCGTTGTGAGCCACACTCCAGTCTGGAAGGTGGCGGTAATGGACCTAAAGCTGGTTGCCAACCGCCATTAAAAAAAATAGCTGAAGAAGAAGAAGGAAGTTTAAAATTCTGACAAGTTGTTGTGCATTTTATTGTTATAAGATAATCTCAAGCAGTGTTCACTTTGTGAAAAACAAAACTTTAGACCAGTGCATTTATGTAAAAATAATAGCAGAAAACTTTAAAAAGTTTTCTGTTTACCTACAGCAAATTCTGCCAGTGTTTTCTGTGAACATATTAATTCAACTTAAATATATTTATGCGGCCTTCTTCTGTACAACACGCTCACAAATAGAGCCAGCTTCAGCTACTTTCCACAGAACTTAGTTGGCAACACTGCCTAGAAGTGTAGGAGAGGTAGGGCCTTTTACTTGTTTGTGCTCATGGTCTCATAATCCCTCTATGGTTTCAGCGCATTGCTGCTCTAGACAGAATACTGTTATTAATAAAATATAAAGACTAATCATTAATCATAAGGAACTGATGGCAGAACTGTTAAGAATAACGGTGCTGATCAAATCTGAGCGATACCTGCAGAGAACCGTGACAAAAGTCTTGTTTCAGTCACAGAATGTGATGGTTCAACAGGCAGGTGTAACCTTTGATGTGTCACAGTGGGAAAACCACAGGTGGAAATAATGAGATGAATAATTAACATATCACATTTAGCTTCAGGCTTTTGTCACATATGGAGCCATAAGGCAACACCTCCTGCGGTCACTGGCCCCTGAATCCTCTGTTGCAGTTTTTAATAAAGCTGCTTCAAAGAGAGTTTGAAGGTTTCATCACTCTTTAAAAGTAACATTTTCTGACATAATGGGAAAATCTGAGATGTGGTTTTAATTGAAAAAAGAAATGTAAAATTCTGGTGGTTGTGAAGATGTCAGAATGCAACTTTTAAATTAGGAAGAAAACATCTCACAGTAACAATCAGTTTGGGGCCTGCTGATTTCCTTCTAACACTTTGGACATCGACTATTTCTTTATTAAACCAGGTAAGCTGCTGAGCAGGTGTGAGGCCTTTTGTTAGCATTACACCTAATACTTCAATCCTACAAATCAGAAAAAAAGCATCTTACTTTTGATGGTTTCCCACTATAGAAACAACCATGCTAGCAGCTAACATGCTCAGTCACTATGCTAACATACTAATGTTTAGCATGTATATTTTGACTACTCAGCATGTTATAATCTTGGCTATAAGACAGTATTGTACTCACTGACATTTAAGGGGTTAAGAGTGTCTAAATTCTGATTTATATCTGTAATAGTTTTAACATACTGTACAGTAGATATTTTGAACATTTGTGTCTGTAAACTTCTGGATGTGCCAAAAACATGTTTTTTATTTATGTGATATCCATTTGGTGAAATTTGTCATTTTCAAAAGACAAAAAGGGACAAAAAGAGTAAAAGTAGTTTGAAAGCTACAGCTCTGAAATTCTGACAGTCTATTCACTTCTGAGCTGCAGCAACTCATTCTAGCCTCTAAACCTTCCTGACTTTGCTTTTTTTTCCCCTCACAGATCAAGTTACTGATTCAAAATGAACCCAGTCAAACTGCATGTCTCCATTTTCATCTCAGTGTTGACCCTAGTGACCTCTGGCCAGGCTTTACCGAGGACACCCCCTCCATTGCGCCCTGGCCACCCCTTCCTGTTCATGTGGAATGCTCCGACCGAGCTGTGCGAGAGCCGCTTCGGCATGCCTCTCGACCTCTCCTACTTCCACTATGTCAGCAGCACGCTAAAAACGGCAACCAACCAGAGCATCTCCATATTCTACACTGACCGCTTTGGCATCTTCCCCTATGTGGACGAAAACACTGGTGAGATATACGATGAGGGTCTGCCACAGCTGATAGACTTACAGGAGCACCATGAGTTGGCCGAGGATGACATCAAGTACTACATCCCTGTTGACCAGCCGGGCCTTGCTGTGCTCGACCTTGAGGAGTGGAGGCCGCAGTGGGTCCGAAACTGGGGAACCAAAAACGTATATCAACAAATTTCCATCGAAATGGTCAAGAAGAAGAGTGCAACCTTGTCTAACGAGGAGGCAGAGGAGCGGGCAAAGATCATGTTTGAACACGCAGCCAAGGCGTACTTCCTCCGCTCCATCCACATTGGGAAAAAACTGAGGCCCCACAAACTCTGGGGTTACTACCTGTACCCTGAGTGCTACAACTACGAGTACAAACAGGACATGGTGGGCTTCACTGGAGAGTGTCCCACCACTGAGAAGGACAGGAATGACGAGTGCAAACAGTCCACTGTCCTCTTTCCATCTATTTACGTGGAGATGTTGCTCAGAGACTCTCAGCAGGCCCGGCTGTTTGTCCGCCATCGCATCCAGGAGGCCATGAGGGTGTCGACACTCCCCAACAGCTCCTACTCCATCCCAGTCTATGCCTACATCCGCCCCTTGTACAAAGACAGCACCAATGACTATATGTCAGAGGTCAGACATGCTGGTACACAAGAAACTAGGCACAATGTATACTGATGTAACATCAAACTAAGGCCACAGAAAATACTAATTTCTGATTGGCTCACCATGGGTTAAACTGACTGCAGACACATTTTAAAACATGGAGAGGGATTTAGACCTAGCTGAGAGGCTGCGGGTTGTCTCCTAACCAAAAAGTTTGCGGTTCAATTCCCAGCTTCTCCTGTCAGTCTCCTTGAACAAGACACTGAAGCCCCAGCTGCTCCCGGTGAAGTCACTGGTGTGTGAATGTGAATGGGTAAATGGCCAAATAGTGTGAAAGCTCTTTGTGTGCTGCAATGCGTAGAACAGCGCTACACAAGTACAAGACCATTTCCTTTGTTCCTCTCCTCAGTGCATTATCACCTGCATGTCACTGCATGAGATGGTGCTTGTTTCTGATCGATAATTTACTGTGTCATTTTGCAGTTTGATCTGGTCAACACCATCGGAGAAGCTGCTGCTCTTGGTGCTGCTGGCGTGGTTTCCTGGGGAGACATGAACCTCACAGATTTAGAGGTATAAAGGGAAAATATTCTGGGGTACATCCCAAGTCTCTTATATGATCGTACCTCTCTCCTCAATCCTGGCACAACCAGAACACCTTCCGAGCCAATCGAAGACATCCCAAGTATCTCCTCTGAGAAGTGAGGAGGCTGCCTGGAGGAGCCATGACTGAGGATACAGAAGTCCATCCTTTGTGGAAGAGTTTTGTGAACCAACATGCCGCTTTACTGGAAATCAGCTGGTGATCGGATACTTAAGATGAAGGATCATCTCTAAAGATGTTTTCTTTATTCCTCTCTCCTTCACTGTTTCCTCACATCTTGCGTGGATGGGACTAAGTGAAGGAAAACTGGATATACAGTATATAGGAGCCTTGGGATGTGCCTATGGGGTTCTCTGGGAAGGTTTTAAACTTCTACTTCTGTTTACAACATTATTTAACAACCACAAAGTGACTTAATATCCCACAATTCCCTAGGACTCCTGCTTTGGTGCAGGACGCCACCTGGAACAAGTCATGAACCCATACATCCTGAATGTCTCCACGGCAACGCAGCTCTGCAGTAAGGCGCTCTGCCAGGGCCAAGGTCGCTGCGTGAGGAAGCGCTGGAATGACGATGTCTTCCTCCACCTCAACCCGTGCCGTTACCGGATCCGACGGCACCGCCATGGCCGCCCACTGACTGTGAGAGGCGGCCTCTCACAGGATGACATTGACTGGTTCGACCGTAACTTTGACTGCATGTGCTACAGCGAGGAGCCGTGCAGGTCAGTCCTGACACTCAACGTCGTCCATGAACACGCCTTGTCCCCTCCTGCTGGTGGTGATGCTACTGTCTGAAGTATATTATGATGTAAATATAAAATTAAAAACAAACATGATGCATATGTTGCAGGATATGTGGGTGCACGCAATATGACAATTCCCTGCTATGGTGTTATTTTTAACTGGTTTTACTCGTCTTCATTAAAGATATTTTAAAAGATAAAAAATTTTTAAAATATTTTCTTAGTCTCATTCATTTAGTTATAGTCATGGCTGAATTAACCTGCTAGAGGAGGAGGAGGCTGTGAAACGCTGCTTTTCAGCCTGGTGTTAAGCTCCTCATCATAGACAGCTACTTTATCTTTAGGAAGATCTCCCATGTGAGCACAATATATCCTAAAATAGGGTTTAAATTTTATATAGTGTTCCTTATATGAGACCCCAGAGGGACTAATACACTTTCTAATAAAGGGATCCCAATTATTCAACCCTAACCTTGATATGGGGAGGGAATAAAGGACATTTTCACACATTGTAAGAGGCTGTGACAGTTAATTTTTAAAAAGAGCTGGTACTGTACGATAGGGAGGGTTTACCTGAGAAAAAGTCTGAGCTGCACTGGAGGCTTTTGTCCGGCAGAAGGAGACAGAGTCCGTTTCCTTCCCACTTCAGCCTGTTGTAATTATGGTTTCACTGACAGACGCATCCTGCCACAACTTATTCACTCCGTCGTGTTTCTTGGTTCTTTGAAAGGTGACACATCGAAACAAGCGACAACCATTAAAGACCTTCAAAGTTAGATTTTCCTTCCAACAATCGACACCAAACAGGCCTTCTTACAAAGTAGGCAGGACTGGCTGCACATCTAATAACAAAGGGAGTGTGGGGCCCAGCGGTTACAGAACAGCTGTGGCGATCACTTCCAGTCAGACCAAGTGTCTTCACATGTCACACTGCTTTACTGTTTGCCACAATGAAAACAATAAGCTGCAGATCATACTGTGCAATAAACCGGCTCCTTTCTCACAACTACCAACACGGATACAGACCCGTCCACTGCAGGAGTCGTGTGTAGTTTGCAGTGAATGAATAATTCCTTTGTGGGTCTTTGTGCCCTGAGTTTTTTCCTCTCAGCTGTAAAAGTCCCTCCTCCTCACCCTGAGATTAATTACCTGAGCGGCATAATTGACGTAAACAGACCTCACAGCAGCGTAACTCATTTGATTGGCAGGTAATTGGCAAATAAGAAGGTGGAGGGCGGGGCATCTGTGTTTGGTTGGATGGAATCGGAGCAGGTTTACTGAGTGAAGTTGTGTTGTTTAACGTTTGTACCATGCATTCACGGTGCATACCGGTTTGTAATATAACTAAGTAGGCTACATTTACTCAAGTATTGTATATAAGTACATTTTGAGGTATTTGTACTTTACTCGAGTATTTTATTTTCTGTTTCTTCATACTTCTGTACATTTTAGAAGCAAATACTTTTACTCCACTAGCTTTATTTATTTAATAACTTTAGTTACTAGCGTTAGTTACTTTTCAGAATCAGAATACCTGTGCAAAATACAATATAGTTGACTGAATGTATTAATCCCTGGTGGGAAATTCACACAATTCCCAGCAGTACTTCAAAGTGTAAATTTAAACGGTAAAATGAGCTCTACCTTTACCAGCTGTAGCATTAAATGTGACAGTCATTACAGGAATTTAATATATTAATTTGAAGTGTGCTATTCTGCATGATGAGTACTTTTACTTTGAGTGGGCTACATTAAGTATATTTTGATGCCAATACTTTTGTGGTTCTACTTAAGTAATATTCTGAATGCAGGACCTTTACTTGTAACAGAGTATTTTTATACTGTGATAGTGTTACTTTTACTTAAATAAAAATTCTGAGAACTTCACCACTGGCACTGTACACACTGGCGATGTGTTGTGTGGAGAGCCCTGGCATAAAGTCTCTGTGTGAAAGTTTAAAAAAGTCCATGTACCAGAACTAAGTAAAACTGTATGAATAAACAGCCTACAGTGTTCATTGTAAAGTACAACACGTTCTGTAGTGCCTGGAATGTGCAGAGTTCAGTAATGAAACACACTCTTTGTGCAGTGAATGAGTAAGATTTTATGTCTGGCTTCGTTTCACATCCTCTCATCCATATTCAGGACTCATCAGCATCAGCCGGTCTTTCAGACGAACCCAGCACTGCTCTGATGAACAGCCAGACTGTTGTGTGCTGTATGAATATTTCATGTCTGGAATGGTTTCTGCAGTGACCTGGAAGTTTGACAGAACTTCCCATAG